TAAACCAAAACAAGGACAATTGAAATGCTGCATTTATTTAGTCAGTCCTTCAAAAAGAAGCAATGGAGAGGAAAAGCCACTGAAAAAGCAAGAATGTTTTTAACAGAGTTCGGGTCCAGCCTGCAAGGCCAATGTGGAAGAGGCAGAAGCTATAGTAAAACTTCCCCAGAGTTCTCCTGACTTAAGAGCTCATTGAATCCAAGGCATTTCCTGGAGGAAGTGGGTATAAACAGCGGTACTTTCCTAAATGATGGTTTCAGATCCAGCAAGGGTGATGCATGCTGAGAAAGCCACTAGTAAGTTGATAGTGTGGTGGCTTACAACTCCTCCTCCTCCTCCTCCTCCTCCTCTTCCCCACTCAACTGTAAATACTGTTTCCAGGACTGGAAAAAATAAAGCAAATTCTATCAACCCTGGACAATGGTAGACTCCTATCTTTAGAAATAGATGATTCTTGGGAGAAATTTCTCATGTTCTTACAATCTAAAATTCTTGGTTAAAGGGAATTTACTTAAGTATTTCATAAATTATGGTTACATTTTTGAAAAATAGATCTTGATCTTTACAAAAGCAAGAGAACCCCAAACAGCAGAATGCTGATTAAGAGAAACTGAAGAAAGACTGGGAGAAAGGATGAAAGGGTGGGCATTTCCATGGGACATTTTTAAAAGCTGAGACTAAAGGAAATGACGTCTTTTTCACGAAATGCTGCAGGTGGCCACTACTAGCAAATTTAGGAATAGTGACTATTCTTTGTATATCAGCCCTTGAGGATCTAGCAGAAAATGTATATAATAGTGTATGTTAGGCAGCTGACTTAAATTTATTAATTTGAATGCACCCTCCTTTTCTTTTTTGCTTAAATAATAAGGATTATTGGATGGCATAAGGAATGATATCTGGACAAAAAGTATTAGTCTATTGTGAAGAACTGGTTGAGAGGCAACTATCTTAGTAAATTAAATTACCAGATTGAATCTATGTCTTTTTAATAAGCTGAGACCAGCCTTCTAGCTAGACCAGACTTGGATACCGAAGTGATGAATACTAAAACTACTTTTATTACAGTTCAATAATCTTGCGAGACTGAATGTGTCTCCCTCCCGCCTGCCTTTATCCTAACCAGAATTAGTGACACCCAAGTCTGAGATGTTCTTTCACATTAAACTTTTGCTTTGGGCTGAAATTTCTCTTATCAGATCATTGTCTTGTCTGAGACTCTTCCTCTTGTTCCTCAAGGTTATTCTCACAGCCCATGACAGATATATGGGATATCACAAACAAAAGATGACATAGCTGTTTTAAAGTTTCCTTTCATATTTAGATACATATGAAAAAGAGACTAACAAAAATAAGTATTTAGAAAATGTGTATTGCCTGCTAACTTTGCAGGTGATGCTGATATTTGCTGTAAGGCTAATCGTAGACATGGAACAAGTTCAAATTCTGAATGCTGTACCACCATAAAAAAATACAGAAAAGGGAACTGAACATATCTTAGCCATTATTGAACAAGGTACCTCAAATGTCTACCACATGAAATTACTGAGTTACAATTGATCAAGGAGTTCAATATGTTTCTGGAGCTGGAACATGGACAAAGGTGTATTGCTATTTCTCAGTTATTATTATTTCAATATAAATTTTTTTATTATTTTCATCATAAAAAAAAGCACATCACAAATACATCACAATGTAAAAACCCTACCCCCCACCCCCCACCCCCGGACTTCCCAAACCTAATCCCAGGATACTATTCAACTAAAAGTAAACTAGTATTAATATCCCTAACTCCACAAAATATTATTCTACATAAGTAGGTGAAATATATAAAAAAATAAAAATAAAAATTTTTTTTATCTAAAAACCTAAATTATATTCCACCATTCTATACTTATTTTGAATATAAACAATCCATCTTCTCCATATTGATAAAAATTGTTCATTTGAGTGATCCTTCAAATAAGCCGAAATTTTTGCCATTTCAGCAAGATGCGAAACCTTCAATCTCCAGTCCTCCATTGTAGGTAAGACTTTACTCTTCCAATTTTGAGCTATCAACAAACGGGCAGCAGTTAAACAATACAACATCAAATT